AAAGTACCAAAAATAAAAATTATCATTTTGCATTATAACTCTATAAGACCTGTTACCATGATATACATCATAATTCAATGAATCATTATCAGATCGAGTTAATATTTCGGATTTAGTAATACCTATATACGACCTTTATTTTCAGATAATTAAATCAAAAATCAAAAATTTTACTGCAGTCATGTTGTTTGGTATTCTAGTAAACCCTCTGCTAATACTCATAAAGTAAATTAGAAATAGAAATAAAAAGGTAATCATTTGGATGGATTGTAGTGTACAATTTGCATAGTCTGTTTTTTTGTCTTAAGTTTCACTTGATACCATATGAGGTTCAATGTCTTAGTAGAAAGATCTACGTTTGCAGTCAAGCACCGTCAGAAGTTAGAGAAGTATGGCATTGTATCTAAGTTTCTTATATCGAACCTAAACTATTTGTATTATTCAACCAATGATTCCGATTCCAATGTAGATAAGAATTTCGATGCTGTTGCTGAATATATCCGATGGATCGACTAATGAGAAAATACGTTGAAACTAAGAGATTCTCTAAGTAGAAGAAAACGAGTTCAATGAAATGAAGAAAAGAGAAAAAAAGACAAACTTCTTCACGAGCTACTTTCATATCATCTTTTACATTAGTAAAAATAGTAGGTCGAATAAAATAACCTTTATCACCATCTTTTTTACCCGGTTGAATACATTCAAGAATTGTTTCTAATTGAGTATGACTGTTTTGTAGACTACACAAAAGAAATCAATGCTAATCTGTTGTCTTATCAAATTGTTTTCTGAATCCTCAATCAGTATGTTTTTTCCATAGTTTAGATTTTAACACTTTGCTTGAAATGCTTTCTTATATCTATGGTTCTTGTTCAGTTGTAGAATTAAATGGATCACCAACAATAGATGTCTTTGCTAATTCGACACTTTTAGACACAAAGGCATCGCGAAGTGTGAAATGAACAAATATTCTTGATGCAGCAAAACATACTTGATCTGCATGAGTGAAAATTGCTCTATGAGTAGTTCGAACAGGAACATCGACTAAAATATGCAAAACAAATTAATTCTATCGTTTATAAACCTTTTTCATCACTAGGAAGCACAATGAAAATGAAAGTAATAGAATTATTTAATACATACGATCAGTACCTTCACAAATGATTAATAGTGCTTTACTACCTATATGTGATGAAAAAGGCAACAAAGCAGACAGATAAGAAAGATGATTTTACTACCTGAGTTCTAGTGAAACACGCTTTAGATTAGTTTTTCCTGCAGTTTCTTGAATCTTTTTCCCAACTTAAAACAAAATATCATGTGCTTTTGTTATTTTATCTTCCATCTGCACTAATCTTGCCTTGAGTGAACCTGTAAAAGCTATTTTATTAATCTTTTCATCCATGACCACAGTTAGGTCCATGACTTACATATATATATCGTTATAAGAGTTGTTTTCATTCTGATGATGTGTATTACCTAATACACTGTTAACAATACCTGGCGGAAAACTAGCCTAGATTATTGATTTTGTATTAGAATAAACTTCGATTGTTCATAGATGTTGAATAACACTTATTTGATGGCAGAAGGATAAAAGAGTGCAGTAAGTGGTGTTTGTTCAGCTGGTTTTAGAATAACTACATTGACTATGTGTTATTACAATATATAAGAAAGTGTAAATTAATAGAAGTAATGAAGTTACCACAGACTAATGCTGATCCAAATTTCAAGGTCAACATAATAGTCTAAAATATAATCACAACAATACTTTTGTATGATGCATATGTAAGAAAGAATATCGTACTGAATAATCACTGAAAGAAGGAAGTACAATTTGAATGTTCATTTATTGAATGTTTGAACTGACCATGAAATGATTTGTCCATAGATCCCAACTGATTCATGTCTAATATAGGTAATAAAAATACCTGATTCTGATGGAAGTGCTTCACCAGTGATTTTATCAGCCCATCCAGCGTCTGTAACATGTGAATATCATTGATAATAAAAAAAAGAGAATGTCAGAGAGGCTTTCGATAATCAAGACAAACAGCTGTTCGAAGAATCTCGCAATAACTCTCTTGTAGCAGTTTTTCACTACTCAGTGTTTCTAATTTCTGAATATTCATTTATGATGTAGATGCAAACAAACAGAGTGAACATTTTTACTGCTAAATAATCCACAACACATAGAAGTAAATCAGCAAGTTTATGAATTAATTGAGCACATGAGCAGGATCAAACTTACGCTATGGTGAATCATATTGGAAACCTTTTCCAGCAGCTTCAATTGCTTTATCAAAATCACTCTACAATATTGGAAACAATAAAAATTACACTTAGACCGAAAATAATCATGTATATATATTGATACTTTTGTGCCTTCTTCTACTTGACAAATTTCTTCATCTGTATTTGGATTAATGATAGAGAATGGATTCATCCTTGTCTACATGATTGACCTTGATTTATCACATAAGAAGAAAAGAAAGAAAGGAGATATATTAGCTCGTTCCTTTATCCACTTATATTCATTGCTGTTTCAGTTGCAGATGATGTCTTCAATCTTAATGAATGATTCAACTTATGAAACCGATTTGGTTAAGAGAAAACAAAAATTTGATAAGGTAGCACACCCGAGTATTGTAACAAGTCTTCGTATCAATGTGGTATTTTTAAAACTTGTCTTATCGATTGGACTTTGCGACAAGCGAAGAACAATTTTTTTAATAATATATGTATTTGATATTGCACTTCACTATGGAACTATTTTACTAACAGGTGCAGATCAGATCGTTCTTAGTGTATGCAAAACACGTAAGATATCCTAGATCTGGATTCGAGTATTTCCTGTCCCGATTCGCGACACGTCCGATTCCAACTGAGTTCACACTGGTTCGAAGTAGACCTCGATGAGCTCTATCCAACGCACTAGTTCTTTTTCGAAAACCAACAATCCTTACTGGTCAAAACCCGTTTTTCACGCAAAAAAAAACAAGAAAAAACCATACAACGACAGCAAAACCACTCGCGATTCGCTCAGAGACCGATTCCAACACAACCA